TAGATCAGACAGCTGATCCAGATGCTGCTGCCTGCGTCCTCACTAGAACTATAGAAAGTAGATCAGACAGCTGATCCAGATGCTGCTGCCTGCGTCCTCACTAGAACTATAGAAAGTAGATCAGACAGCTGATCCAGATACTGCTGCCTGCGTCCTCACTAGAACTATAGAAAGTAGATCAGACAGCTGATCCAGATGCTGCTGCCTGCGTCCTCACTAGAACTATAGAAAGTAGATTAGACAGCTGATCCAGATACTGCTGCCTGCGTCCTCACTAGAACTATAGAAAGTAGATCAGACAGCTGCAGCTGATCCAGATGCTGCCCCCTGTGTCCTCACTAGAACTATAGAAAGTAGATCAGATAGCTGATCCAGACGCTGCTGCCTGCGTCCTCACTAGAACTATAGAAAGTAGATTAGACAGCTGATCCAGATACTGCTGCCTGCGTCCTCACTTGAACTATAGAAAGTAGATCAGACAGCTGATCCAGACGCTGCTGCCTGCGTCCTCACTTGAACTATAGAAAGTACATCAGTTTCTATACTTTCTATACTTCTAGGATGCCCTCAGTCCCCTCCCACCACTCCCAGCCCCAGCTGCCCGTCCCACACACAAGAGAGGGAGAGCCAGTCTCTGGATAAAGGAGATTTTTGGGCATGTAGTTTGGAGTGGTGGTGTAGTGGTTAGGGCTTAGAGTTTGAGCCCCACACCCACAGCTTGCCACTCTGGGTTCCTGAATAAGACCCTTAAACACACACTGCTGCCTGGGTGCCCCTTGATGGCAGCTCCCTGCTCCCCAATTAGATGGGTTAAATGCAGAGGTAGATTTTTCCAATGTGAGATCAATAAAGTTTCAGTCATCAGTTAATATTTTTGGCAAACTTAAGGATTTCTTCCTGGTGGGAATTTCTCTATGAAAGTTCTACACTCCTTGTACACAAAGCTCCTGGTTGAACCAATGATATCCTTACTTAGGTACCTTGTTATGAAAACTGTTAGTTTTGTGTGAATATTGAATGAATTAATATCAGAAATAGTTTTAATCCTTTGTTTGGCTGAAATGTTTCCTCTTTTTTCTTTCGTTCTTCATACAGGTGTTGATGGTCAATATCAACGTTACCTCAAAGTATTTCTGAAGAAGAAGTTTGAATGTATCTGTGAAGGCGTAGCTAAAGCTGGAAAGAAAACCTTTCTCTATGAGATCTACACAGAGCTCTTCATCACAGAGGGGAAGACCAGAGAGGTGAATGATGAACATGAGGTCAGAAGGATTGAAGCAGCATCCTGGAAACAAAACAGAGCAGGAACAACAATCAGACCAGAAGACATCTTCAAACCACCTAGAGGAAGGGATCAGATCAGAACCGTGATGACGATGGGAGTGGCTGGCATAGGGAAAACAGTTTTAACACAGAAGTTCACTCTAGATTGGGCTAAAGGAAGAACAAACCAGAACATCCAGTTCATATTTCCATTCACCTTTAGAGAGCTTAATGTTCTGAAAACAGAGTTAAGCTTGGTGGGACTGATTCATAAACACTTTAAGCCAATCAGAGATGCAGGGATCCACAGCTTTGAAGACTTCCAGGTTCTGTTCATCTTAGATGGTCTGGATGAGAGTCGACTTTCTCTCAACAACAATAAGATCTTGACTGATGTTACAGAGTCCACCTCAGTGGATGTTCTGCTGACTAACCTCATCAGCGGGAAACTGCTTCCTAAGGCTCTCCTCTGGATAACCACACGACCTGCAGCAGCCAATAAGATCCCAGATGAGTTCATTGACATGGTGACAGAGGTCAGAGGCTTCACCGACCCACAGAAGGAGGAGTACTTCAGGAAGAGGTTCAGAGATGAAGGATGCAGGATTATCTCCCACATTAAAAGATTAAAAAGTCTCTTCATCATGTGTCACATTCCCGTCTTCTGCTGGATCACTGCTCATGTTGTGGAGGGTTTATTGGAGACCAGAGAAGGAGGAGAGCTGCCAAAGACCCTGACTGGGATGTACATCCGCTTCCTGATGCTTCATATCAAACGAGAAATGTTTAAGTATGAAGAACAGAAGAGAAAGTCCCCATGGACTCCAGAGAATATCAAGATGGTTCATTCTCTGGGAAAACTGGCCTTTGAGCAGCTGCTGGAAGGAAACCTGATCTTCTATAAACAAGACCTGGAAAAGTGTGGCATCAGCTTCCAAGATGCTTCATGGTTCTCAGGAGTGTTTACTGAGATCTTTAAAGAGGAGAGAGGGATGGACGACATCTCAGTCTACTGCTTTGTTCATCTGAGCTTCCAGGAGTTTCTGGCTGCAGTCTACATGCTCCACTGCTTCACCAGCAGGAACACAGAGGTGGTGGAGAACTTCCTGGGAGAAGAATGCAGAGAAACATCACTAGAGGACTTCATGAAGAAAGTCATGGAGAAATCTCTCAGCAGTAAAAATGGCCATCTGGACATGTTTCTTCGCTTCCTTCATGGCCTCTTGGTGGAGTCCAACCAGAGCCTCTTAGGAGGCCTGCTGGGTCAGATGGAGACCAGTCCAGGAACCACCCAGAGAGTCATAAACAATCTGAAGGAGGTGAAAACTGATGAAGATATTTCTCCTGATAGAAGCATCAACATCTTCCACTGTCGTCAGGAGATGAAGGACCCCTCAGTTTATCAGGAAATCCAACAGCTCCTGAAATCAGAGAAGTACCTCTCAGAGACCCAGTGCTCAGCTCTGGCCTACATGCTGCAGATGTCAGAGGAGGTTCTGGATGAGTTCGACCTGATGAAGATCAACACGTCAGAGAATGGAAGACTTAGGCTGGTTCCAGCTGTGAGGGACTGCAAAAAGGCTCGGTGAGTCCAGATGTTTTCATTGGGTGATGCTGATTCAGATATATTTTCCTTCTGGTTCTCCCTCATTGTTCTAGTTGCTTCTGGATATTTTTGCTCACTATCTCCTTCTTTCATCTTTTGAACCTTTTCAACCATTCAAGCATCTAAATGTTCAGCTCGTTTGGGACAGCTCTGCTTGCATTGAAATGGAGAGAAAACCTTGAGAATTAAGAAAATATGTGTTTTATCTTAAGATCCAATCAGCCAGAGACCATGTTCCCTCATTGAGCTGTTTGCCCAGAATTCACCTTTTTATTCTATTTTGCTTTTATAAAATTACTGCTTAGCTTTAATAGAAATTTTGAGCAATCAGATCAATCCCTGCATTGCTGCTGTTGCCATGGAAATTAGTTTTTTTTAATTCAACAAAAGGTGAAAAACTACACACATCCTGAGAAGTTTAAGAGTGGATGCTGGACCGCAAAGTCATTTCAAATAACAAAATGAAAAAGATGGATCTGTATACTATTTAAAGTTCCCAAATTGGTATATTCACAAAAAAGTGATATTACGAGCCACACTCCTTCTTTAAACTAAAGAGTTATTAAGAAAGTGCATCTGCCTTAATAGGCTTCACTTGACCACCTGGTAAAATCTAAGTAATTAGATCAGCAGAATAAAAAACATAGTATAAGTCCGGTCACAAAGCTATCCATTGCATGATTGTCAAGCTCAGAAGAAGAGGAGGCAATATTCAAGGCAGAGAGACAGTAAGGATTAACTATATGTTTATTTTAGACATACCAGTACTGTAGAAAATGGCAACAATGTCTCAGTCAGGAACCTCTGCAGAAGCAGAACACAGGTTAGTGACCATGTCTGTCAGGCGGAGGATGATGACGAACATGTGAGTCACTAACCTGGTCTTAAATTTCTGTCGGTGCCTAGAGGATGACGTTGGTTCCAGCCAGTCAGCTGCCAACAAGGTGCGGCGGGTCGCCGCCCAGAGAGTCCCAGACGCTGATGTCCCAGAGGTTTGGAGGACAGACAGAAGATCAGAACCCAGCAGACAAATGAAGGCAGGATAATCCAAAAGCAAAGATAAGGCTGATATTGAAGACGTGCTCAGGAGTCTGGGCCAGAAGATCAGAAGTCCGAGTTACAGAAGGGAAATCCAGGACGGTATCAGAAATCACTTCCAGGTTTAGTACACTGGCAGAATCCAGCAGGAGTCCGCACACAGGTCAGGCAAACATATCAGAATGGTAACAGGCAGGCTCAGAGGTCCAGAGGCTAAACAGGTCAGAATCAGGCAATCTGAAAACACAGGTACGCTACAGAACTCTCACCAAAGGCTTGAATAATCTGGCCCTGATGACTGGGTGAAATCAGGTTAAATAGAGGCTGAAGCACGTGGATAAGATGAACAGCAATCAAAATTGGGCACAGCAGGGCAGGTGAATGAAATGAGTAAGCAGACCTGTCATCAGCACCAAGATCATGACAATGACATGAAAATATCTCGTCTAAACCATTATGAAGAAATGCAACAACAAGGAAAAGGGATGCCACCTTATGTTGTAGATTTGGTGAACACAATATACATTAACAATAATATTATCAAAGGCAGGATATTCCCGACTTTTAGGCTTTCTCCGTATGTAATCCATTCATCCTCAATTCATCTCAACTCATCTTTCCTACTTACATATCTTCATTCTAGCAGTTTAGATTTTCTTCATCCTTCTACTCCCTGCATCCTTCTCCCTTCCAGTCCTACAGCAGAAGCTGTAGGACTGGAAGGGGGCATGTTCAGCACAAACAGCAAGCTGACAACACCACACACCAGGAGGAAGTAGAAAACACAGCTGTGTGCAACATTTTCAAAGCCTGTTCATGCCGTTTAAGAGAGACTGACGTTTTTCCCCAGGAGTTTTTCCACAATCTGTTGATGGTTGTGATACAGTGGAATCTGCTTATAGTGGTCACGTTGGTCCAGAGCCAATTTGAACACTATAAGCAGTTGATTACTAAAACTGAATTTACCATTAATTTACTTATTTTTTATGCAGCATATCATCTAAATGCCATTCGTATGCTTTTTCAATGAGAAACATGAAACTGATAGCTTCTGCATTTACTGAATTTTATTACAGTACCATGTAAGTTTAATTACAGTATACTGTGCTGTGCGCAGACATAACTCTGGCAGCCTACGTAACTTATTATGTGCATCGAGCCTACCTCTATTTTGTGCTGTGGATCTGCTGCGCCACATTAAGAAATCACTTCACATATTTATCCATGGTTCCCTGGATCAGTGTTGTCCAACACTGAGTTCACTTCTTTTTCAAAATGATGTAAGAGGTCAAAGTTTTTGAAGCCAAAATGCAGGAGACCAGTCTTTAAAATTCAAACTGCATTCCTTATCTCAGCTGTGGAAGAGAAAAGTCTCTTCTTCATCTTCCTCCTCCTCGCTGCACGCAGCACTGGTACCCGCACCAAAGCGCTCTTGTACCTCCGCAATGATGTCCTCATCCGTCACGGGCTCTGACACCAGAGTGCTGTAATCACTTTCGATCCACTTATTAATTATTTTTGCATATGTTTAAATTCATAAAATGGCCAAAAATGAACACCATAAGCGGATTTCTTGATTACTATAAATGTATTATTTAAGCAGTATTTGTATAGAAATGATTCTGTCCCAAGCCTTTTGATCAATATAAGCGGTTTATTACTATATCCATGACCAGTATAAGCAGATTCCACTGTATTTATGAGCTAAATCACAAGATCTTTAGATGTGTACATTTGCAAACTCTCACCAGCAGGCATGGCCACTGGAAGTAGGGGTGCTTAGGATCCTGCAGCACCCCCTAGTGGCAAGAGGGAGATAAAAAATTTTTTACTAAAAATACTTATCACAGTTTATAAATGAGTGCAGAGTATTTAAACTTTTTTATTTTACTATTACATGTATTTGGATTTTAATTTAATTATTTTTAGGTCTAATCAACACAAGTTCATAAAAGTTAATGTTTCCATGGTAATATTAAGCAAGATGGTGGTCACAGAGAAAAGAGGTATCCTGCCTGAGGCAGAAGACTAGTAAATCTAAAAAGTCTAATGACAGAAACGAGGAGGAAATATGGCACAGAAACGCATTTCAGATTTTTTTTGGAAAACCACCACCAGTGAAGAAGAACACTAGAGACATGATAACAGAGAGCAGCCAGAGTGAGGAGACTGTCCGCCCTCCTCTGATGGCAGCCCCAGCACCCACAACTCAACCAAGCGTGTAACCAGGGCACCCTGCCTGTAGCTCAAAGCAAGGGCATGGTCCCGCCGAGCACTTTCATATCTATTTGTGCATTTTAATGTAACCATAGTATTTTAGTGTTATTTTGATCTCATGTTCTCTGTGTAATGATATGGAGAACTGTTAAATAACATTTAAATAGTATAATGATAAAATTATTTCCTTTGGGGTTTGCGTAAAAGAATTATCGAGCTAATAGAGTCACGTGTGACATAAACACAGTGACTCTTGTTCCTGCCAGCTGATAGTGTTATTGTGAAGTTTAATTAATGGCGCAGATATTCACCTGAGAATCGATAATGTCTGTTTTTACCGACCCTGATTGCATGCACTGAAGGGTATATGACAATAAAGTTGTGCATCTCAATCCATTTATTTATGTTTATTTATTGTATTTTAAATACAAAGTAATATAAAGACAGAATTTCTAGGCTCAACCAAGGTGTTGAGGGGATCTGTTTTGGTGGCCTTAGGATTGCGTCTCTGTTATTCCCAGATGATGTGGTTCTACTGGCTTCATCAGGGCGTGACCTACAGCTCTCACTGGAGCCGAGTGTGAAGCGGCCAGGATGAGGATCAGTGCCTCCAAATCAGAGACCATGGTCTTGAGCCGGAAAAGGATAGAGTGCCTTCTCCCGGTTGGGGAGGATGTACTGCCCCTAGTGGAGGGGTTTAAGTATCTTGGGATCTTGTTTACAAATGAACGGAAGATGGAGCGGGAGATGGATAGGCGGATTAGTGCGCCGTCTGCTGTGAAGCGTGCGCTGTACCGGTCTGTTGTGGTGAAGAGAGACCTGAGCCAAAAAGCAAAGCTCTCGATTTACCGGTCGATCTACGTTCCTACCCTCATCTATGGTTACCGAATGAACAAGGTCCCGGATACAAGCGGCTGTAATGAGTTTTCTCTATAGTGTGTCTGGGCTCTCCCTTAGAGATAGGGGGAGGAGCTCAGTCATCCGGGGAGGACTCAGAGTAGAGCCGCTGCTCCTCCACATCGAGAGGAGCCAGTTGAGGTGGCTCAGGCATCTGGTTAGGATGCCTCCTGGACGTCTTTGTTTGTGTGTGTGTGTGTATGTTTATTTGTTTGTTTGAAATAGGCTCATAGGCCTTTTGTCCAAAAAAACCCCAACATTTTTTAACATACCCCCTGTTCAAAATGACTTCCATCGGCCCTGCCAGCAGGAGATGCTGCTTGCTAGCCATGTTTTCCACACCGATCTGTCCGTGTAGTTACAACTTTACCCACGTTTGCTTTGCGGTAATTCTGTTCCCGTGGATGCCATCCAGAGAGCTGTGCAAGCCCAAAATGACGTAATTTGGATAAGCATAAACCAAGTTAGGCTTCAGTAAACTGATGATTATTAGTCATATCTGACAACATAGGCCATTAGAACTGATTTTATTTCTCTTCTAATCACAGACTTGGTGGCTGTGAACTCACTAAGGCTGAATGTGAAGCTGTGGCCTCAGCTCTAAAGTCCAACCATCACCTGACTGAAGTTGAAATAGAGAAGATCTCAGGAGATTTCTTCTTTGGAGAATCTGGAATGAAGCATCTGTGTGAGATATTGGAGAGTTCAATCTGCAAAGTGAAGACACTGAGGTGAGTTTTCTGTTGTTTATTCAAACCAAATCATTCACTGATATTTAAATACTTCTTTTAATTCATCATTTTAATCTGATATAATTTATTTAAAAACAGCTTCTGTCCAAATGTCAGAATACAATTTTTCAGACTTTTTAATTTGTAAATAAATATTTTTCCTGTTCCACATGTTTTAAATATTGAACTTTATTTTCCAGTAGTTTAAACCTTAAAATATTTTTGACTGTGTAAAAAAATTAGGAATCAGTTAACTGATCTTAAGTAACGAATATATGTAATGAAATAACGATATCAACAAAAATCACTGTCTAAAAAGAAAAGAAAAACACATCAAATAAACGAAACACAGAAACACCCATATCCAATAATCCCAGGACCGAGGACCCAGCGGCACCGATGGTCGGTCACGGGATCATTGGATGACCCAATAAGTGAACCTAAAATCTGGATGGGGGGGAGGGGAGCGGTGACACCACCACACTAACCCAATGTCATTCCTGATTACGTCCCCCCCCGGGATCGGGGCCCACATGCCCCATGCAGGCCACCCAACCAGAGCTCCCCAACCCCCCCTAAATAATTCACCCAGCCACTTCCTCCCCTCAATTTGCTACTTGCCCCCCCTCCGCCCTCCTTTGGGGAGAGCAGAAGTTCCCCTGCACCGGCAGGCCACCCAGGCCCTGCAGCAGCCGCCCGCCAAGACCAAGGACCAGGTAGCTCACAGTTCCTCCAGACCCCAGACTCCGGGTGGCAGTCGGAGAACAGGGGTGTAAGAGGACCCCGATCTTCCCTACGAATGTGGTGTTGTTGCGTGTTGCTCTCAGGTGTCATTAAAACTGGGAGTACCAAAAGGGGGTGTCCGGCACAGTCCACCTCCCCTCCAGAAGACAGGTGGTGCCAACACACGCCACCCAATCGACAACCCAGGAACCTCAATATATATATATATATATATATATATATATATATATACAATCTTCCTTTATGATCTAAAATTCTTGGGAAAGTAGTTGCCAAACAAGTGTGTGATCACTTCCAATATCATGATTTTTTTGAAGAGTTTCAGTCTGGCTTTAGAGCTCATCATAGCACTGAAACAGCTCTGGTGAAAGTCACTAATGATATTCTTATGGCCTTAAATAATTAACTTGTATCTGTACTTGCCCTGTTAGATCTCAGTGCTGCATTTGATCCAGTTGATCATATAATTTTAGAAAGACTTGAATATTACATAGGAAATAAAGGTACAGCACCAAAGTGGTTTAAATCTGACAGATTTCAGTTTGTTCATGTTAATGATAAATCATTCTGATGCTTCATATTATATTTATTGTGGAACATCAGATTTATGACAACTACAAACGCTGTAAAACACAGCCCTTTGGGTGGCTGCTAGGGGAGCTTATGGTAAGGCACATGCTAGCTGTTCGCTGCTCATTGTGTTGTGCTCAGAGTGGCCCAGAGAAGAAGCGTAACTAGTGTGATCTCAATCGGACAACGGGAAATGCTTAAAAGGAGCAAAAATAAGTCAGGCTGGAGGCCCCAGAGGCCTTCCCCAACCATGTATGGTTAAATGTCTCACACCCGAGCCTTATATACCTGTTGTGATACTTTAATATGTCTATTGCCCACTCCAGTAGTGGTGGCAAATATCTTATTTAATCAAATATTATTCGGACTGTCATATATTGTTTGTGGACACACTCCCTAATAGTTGTGTGTTAGAACAACAAATGAAACAGTGAATCTAGCTTAAATCATGGTCAAATAGATGATTCTGAACATACTTCACCACAATTTATTTTCAAAATATGAGAGTTAATTAAAAAAAATAATTCAGCTCCAAGTCAAACATATTTCAGTAAAAAACTCTTGACTAAAAATTAGTGAAACTCAACTAAACAAATCTACAATGCCTAAAGAGGAAGGAAAAACATTTTTGAAAGCCTTTTCACAGTTTAGGGCAGGGGTACCCAACCTCTTATAAACCAAGATCCACTTTTGAAGTTGATGGCATTAGAACTGTGAATGTACAGTCATATGTTTATATAACTGTTTATATATATATATATATATATATATATATATGCCACCACAGAACCCCCCCGAGAGCACCGCAAGCCTGTGCACTGTGGACAGATATTAGATGCAAAACCCATCTTGAATAATCTTTGACCTGTATAGTGCACTCTGTGGAGGATTTTGTATTGTAGTAATTGTAAATTGGGGTTTCTAGTCATGTTAAAAGTTCTTAGACTTATCTGATCCCAGATGTTTTGTTCAAAGCTGACTGATAAATCCTCCTCCCATTTAGTAATAGGAAGAGATATTGGATCATCCAGTTTAGTCAGTGTCCTGTATAACTTAGACAGTAGTTTTGGGGGGTTTAACTCTAGGAACTCTGATATATTAGTTAGAATTTGTAAACCTCCATCAATATGCTTAAATTTGTTTCTAAATTTAGATTTAATTTGTTCATATTCCAAGAATTTATTTTTGTTAATGCCATATTGCAAATTTAATCTAACAAATGTGATAAACTCTGTACCTTCAAATACATGATCCAGATATGTAATATATGGAATATCCGCTTGATATTAGAGCTAACAAACGGCAACTCTGAAATTATATTACTGCATATTTCCTGTTCTGTGTCTATCCAGGGCTCATCTAAGGGATTATGTTTTATCCATTTAGAGATGTATTGTAATCTATTTGCTAAGTAGTAGTGTTGGAAGTTAGGTAAATCTAGTCCCCCTCTGTCTTTAGTTTTCTTTAGTGTCTTTAAGCTGATACGAGAGGGTTTGTCCTTCATATCTTTCTAGGTCCTCTTCTATCTTTCTTAAAAGAGGGATGTGGTTGAGTTTTGGTAACTCAGCTAATTCAGATGACAGAGTAATTCCCAAATATTTGATATTTCCTGATTGCAATTGTAGACCTGAGGGATTCTGTAGAGAGCAATTAATTGGTAGTATTATAGATTTAGACCAATTTATAGAGTAATCTGAGACTTTTGAGAAAGATTCTAGTAAACTAATCACTTGAGAGAGGCAAGTGTTTGAGTGCTGGAGATAAAGTAATACATCATCTGGATAAAGACTAATTTGTGCTCTATTTTAATGCCTTTTATACCTTTAACCACATTAGTTTGTCTGATTGTAGCAGCTAGAGGTTCAATGAAAATGGCAAAAAGTGAGGGATAGAGCGGGCATCCCTGTCTGGTGCCCCTCTGGAGACAAAAGCTGGAAGATGTTTTATCCAATTTATACAGGAATAAAAAGTTCCAGTTTATTCTATCAAATGCTTTTTCTGCATCTAAAGACAATATGTAGGATTTTATATTAATTAAGGATATGGGACGATAGCTGGTCGGAAACATAGGATCTTTGCCTGGCTTAAGCAGGAGACTAATGGTGGCAGAATTCATATTACCTGGAATTTTGCCAGCGGTGAGTCCAGGGTCACTCTTTGACTCTCTGATAATTTAGGGTTAGGAGATTCATCCCCTGCTCAGTGTGAAACTCAAACAATCCTTCCAGGGGGAAAAGGCCAAACATCCAGTGTGCAGGATGACTTCCTGCCGAAAGGCACAAGACAAAAACAGCGTTAGACTCAGAGAAACAAAAAACTCAGCTTGGCGAGAGTACCCAAAACCGGCAAACACTCTGGTGTCGAGGTAGTGACAGTCCACCGCTTAAGAAGTCACACAGGTTGAACTAGAACGCTTAAGGTGTGTGGGAGGACCAATGAGAACAGGGCGCCACCTGGTGGTGGAGGGAGAAAAAACACACAGACTGGATTCCTAACATTTTGGTTATCCCTTCAGGATAAATAATTTTGTCTAATAAAGTAAAACTGATGTTTTTGTGGATTGCAAATACATCAGTGAATGCAGGGGAGTTAGGATCACTTACAGTTGTCGCTGATTTATGGGTTTCTTGCAATAAGACAACATCTGCATTTAATCTTAAAAACAGGTTAAAAATCTTAAGCTGTTTCTCTCTGGTGCCAGCTCCATGCACATTCCATGTCACAAACCTTACATTCACCATAGGTGTGAGTGAGAAGATGAAAAGAACATGCCTCTAAATAAATAGTTATACCTAGACCCAGGTAGCATCAAACCGTGTGCTTGTAATTATGTTGACCACAGCGAAGAAGCAGACGAATAAGATAAATGAAGACAGAGAATTAAGAAAATGTAATGCGTAAGAAAAGGTGAAAGAAAAAGAGCCCCAGCCCATGCTTCTTGTACCCAGCTGTGACTAACAGCCATACCATGCCAACACGCTCTTGCGCTGTGCATATATTTCATTTATCACTGTGATCGGTTCTTTACACTTGTATCAAGTGTCACGTGCTTTAAATCCACCTGTTGTGCATCTAATAAAGCCAAGGAGTGATCTTCTGATCCCTGAATAACTGACCATTAATTTAAAGTATGTCAGCTGCTATTGTAGCTCTGACTGATATCCACTAATATATTTCTTCCTGATTGGGAATAAGATTCGCCGACGATCTAATATTTCCTTTGGAAACTGGTCATTGACGCCGAAATCTTTTCCTCTCAGCTCTCTGTCCTGAATCCTGATCTGCTCTTTTTGTTTGTAATGCTCCAACTTAGCTACGATTGGTCTAGGACGGGTTTTATCAGGCTTCTTACCTCCGAGCCGGCGAACGCAATGGATGGTGATGTTTTTTACCTGGTTCAGCGGGATTTTTTCTTTCTGCTGGAGGAACTTACGGATTGTCACCTCAGGATCCTTCCCCTGCTGCTCCGCGATTCCTGCGAAGACGAGATTGTCTCTCGTGCTCCGTGACTGAATGTCCAAAATTTATTCCTGAATCTCCTTATTTTCGCCGGACAGCTGGATCATCCCCTCGGTGAGTTTGTTGACTTCCCCCCTCAGCGCTTCATTCTCGGCGGTAACGGAGGCTAGCTGCGTTTGGCTGTATTCCAGCAACTCTCTCAGAGCTTGAAACACCTTATGCAAGACTTCTACCAGGGCGAGGCGGGCGTCCAAGCTGGATAGCTTTTTGTCGATGGATTCCAGGACGTCGCTGTAGCTCCTGTCTGGAGACAAAGTAAAGGTAGAAGCAGCACAGGTTGAACTAGATCGACATCATTTGGTAGAAGGTGTGTTTGTGGACGTGGAATTCCTCGGCTTCCCCATTACGATGTTGTCAAAACACTTGGTAGCTCTTCAGGCTCGTCAAGGTCTCGTCTTCCAGTTTGTTCCCTCGGAAATACGGGAAAATTGTTAAAGTTTAAACCTACCTTGTTTAATTTTGTCATGATTGTTTTAAGAGATCTGACCCACATGCAGAGAACCACTCAGAGAACCAGGGGAAAAGTTAAACAGGTTTATTGAGGAAACAGTACAGGAGTTGGATCTGGAACTCAGTGAACTGGTGAACCGGAACTGGAAAGTCTGGAGGGGACATCACAGTGATCAGTTTAGGGACCGAAGGAAAATTGACTGAGTCTTGACTTACTGTGGGAGCGGGACTCACGTTTGAGGGGGTTCTTGTTAATCCTTGAATCCAGTAGGTGTGGGTTTTTCCAGAGAAGAGGGAACTCGTTGGAGAGCAGACAGGTAGACATTTGTTGGACCCTGACGAGCAATGGAGTGGACTGTCACTTGGATTTCCAAAAGGGACTTAAACGGCACAAGTGGATGTTTTCCCCTGCTCAGTGTGAACTTAATCCTTCCAGGGGGAGAAGGCCAGGCATCCAGTTACACAGGAAGGCTTTCCAAAACTGGCAAAGCACTTTGGCGTCGAGGCAGTGACAGCCCACTGCTCAAATACTCCTCAGTAATGATCCAATGAGCCGCAGGTGTGCAGGAGGGCCAACGAGGACAGGGCACCACCTGGTGGTGGAGGGAGAAAAAACACTCAAACACAAAGTGGATTCCTAACAAATTTACAATAATTGGCTTACTTACCTGAGTGGATTTGTTTTTGAATTACCTGTATGTCGCCATTTTGCTTACGCACACAGCTCTCACGAGATCTCAGCTGCTCATTCCCTCCTCATCAACCGTCCACCTCCAGAAGTCTGCACACTTCTGCTTGAGGTCTGCGACTGTCCGACGTGTTGTCAGGATTTATGCTCTTTCTACCGTAATAGCTGTCAACTCACAACAGTTTCCCCCTCATTCATAAAACAGAAAAATTACGGAGATTTCCGGGGAGAGGTAGTCCAAAACGGGGACTGTCCCCAGAAATTTTACTCTTAAAATAAGACAATTAGACAATATGCACTTCAAATAAGACAATGCAATTGTTTTTTTTTTTTTCTTATTTTAAATGTAATTTTTTTGTTCCATTGGCAAACTGTCTCACTTACCTCCTCAACAAAAGGAAAAATGCACTTATTTGAAGAAAGAATCACTTACATTTCAATTTCTGCAGTGAGAGGACATTTGTTGGTGTAAATGATTAATCTGTAGCCTGCATAGCCCCTGTAGGCCAAGCACACGTTCAGTTCCGACCATCACAAGGCTTCCAGCAGCAAACTGACTGAAGAGCAGAAAGACAAATGGATACAAATGTCTTTAGAATCACTCACAAAAACATGCGTGTGAGAAGATGAGAAGTGACTGAACCCCTGGTGTCACATGGTGTATAGATGATCACCGATAGGTTACAGGGGACTTTGTTAATCATAATTCTGAAAACTCTCCTCAGGGGTGGGGAGGGGAAAAGTGCAGTAAAACTAGCTTCTATTTCCTCTAGCGGTTGATGCTGCTGGTGTTGTTCTGGTTCCGGATTGTGTTCCAACTTTGTCCATCACAGAATTTTCCCAGAGGAGACTTAGAAACACAGTTTGATCAGAACCTTCACATGTCTTTAGAACATGTTCTGGTTGTGTCTGGTTTCAGTGTTTTAATCAGTTTTACTGGATCAAATATTAGACATCAGTATATCGTGTTCCTTGTACTTTTATATTCGGTCATTCTCTACATCTTGATGATTTATTTGTTCATATTTCAGTGTTAATCTGCATCTTGTTGAATTCAGTTTTTTTCTTGATTCAGATTGAAGAACGTCAGCTGTGCTTCTTTGGGCTCAGCTCTGAAGTCAAAACCATCCCATCTGACAGAACTGGATCTGAGAGAAGCTGACCTGGAATCTGGAATGAAGGATCTCTGTGGGTTTCTCCAGTCTCCCCTCTGCAAACTACAGACATTGAGGTTAGATATAGTATATTGTTTAATGTAATAACATTAGATTGATAATCTCAATGTGAAGGTAAATCAGTGAGCTAGTAAAGGATCAATAGGCTGGTTGATCAGAGGAGTGGGTTAAAAATTTTAGAAGGAAGACAGAGACTGAAGGTTTAACATTTTGGAACTGGTATATATTTATAGAATTAAGATAAAATGACAACCAGTATTTCCACTGAACTACAGTGAAAACATTGTTCAAAACAGACATATAGAAATATAGCTCCCATGTTCAAAAAGAGTTAATCAGTAGAAGTTCAGTTCTTTAACACACATTTCTTTCCAAAAACAATTTTTGGCAACAGCTTCCAGATGATTAAACCCTGGCTGGTTTGTAGAAGCTCAACCAGAGGGGTTGAAAGTGCAAAATATATGCAGGTTATGTGAGGTGAAAAATTAAGCAGCAACCCAGCAGGATAAAAGCTTCTAGTCTGCAAGGTCTGTGGTATTTTAGTGCCACCAACCTGGATCAGCAGAGCCAGCATAGATAACACTGAAGGTTCTGATCCCATAAAGTCCATCTACCATTAAAGCTTAATCTGAACTAAAACTGAACATTTTAGAGAAATTATGATGCAATCTGGCTTAAATTACCCACCTTACCATCTGGCTCACCAGTTTCCCTGCCTCCGAAATGTGGGTACACCGTATGGATGGGTCAGAGGTCGGGCTGTGGGAAAGAGCTGAAAAACAGATCACTGTCTTGAGTCATTCATATCAGTCTATCCTTGATTATTGATTTTTATTTGATTTGTTTTAAATGAGGACCAGGGAAAAAGAGGCAGAATGTCAATTTGAACCGAAAGCCCATTTAATCATAACCTTTCAGCCCTCTTCCCAACATGAGTAAGAGGCTCCATGTTAAGATATAAAAACGTCAGTTTTTAATGTTCATGAAAATATTTTAAGGCATTTTTTTTTTATTTACCCTTATAGGATCAAACATAGCTTTAACTGTCAAATATTTTACTGTTATAAACATGGAGTATGACAGTTTAGTAGCATGTTCTGCAATCCGGGGCTGAGGGTCCAGGTACACTTTCCTTTATAGAAACACAATTATATCAAATTCCTCATCCTTCCTTCAATCAGTCGGCAGGTGATGAACTGAACCCAAATCAATGCTAGGATGAGTTTGAAGATTTTTCCTGTGAACTTTTTAAAATTTGTATTTGTTCTAGCAGTTGATGCTGCTGGTGCTGTTCTGGTTCGTGTTGCACCACTGCTCTTTCATTCAAAATTGGTTTTGTTTTTTTGTTTAATTTGTGAAAAAGTGGCCAGTATGTCCAACATTGTCCAATGTCCAACACGATTTCTACTGGAAGAAACTAATAAACACACCTTGATTTGGACCTCCAAATGTCATCAGAACATGTTATCGTTCTGCTTGGTTTAACTCTTTCAGTCATTTTTTTCACTGGATCAGATATTACAGTAGACATCAGTATATCGAGTTTGAGACTTTTACATTTAGTCAAATTCTTTTTAATGATTTATTTGTTCATATTTAATTGTGTCCTGTTAAACTAAGCTAAAGTCTTTTATTCTTTATTCAGATTGGATTACTGCATGTTGTCAGAGATCAGCTGTATGTCTCTGGGCTCAGCTCTGAAGTCAAATCCATCCCTTCTGACAGAACTCGACCTGAGCCAAAACAAACTGGACCCTAAAATGAAGCATCTCACTGGGTTTCTCCAGTCTCCCCTCTGCAAACTACAGACATTGAGGTCAGATGTAGTATATTTGTTTATTATAATAACATAGCACTGCAAATTCTATGGTTTCTAAGTCATTATTTTCATTTCCATTTAGTTTCATTTTAGTTCTTTTCTAGTTATATTTTCAACCTAGTGTCACTTTCCTTCACCTAGCTCCCTTCTAGATTCTTCTGTCCTCACATGCTCCCTATCTGTTGCTTACCCCATTCATTATTCTGTTTGGCATTTATACTGCTCCTCTGCAGTTACTCTTTGCTGTGGTGATGGTGAGATGAAGCCACATGAGGCATTGAACCGTTTTGCCAAATTGCTTCAACAATCACCACAGTTCATGAAGTTTCAGGTGAACATGTCTCCACCTACTGGTGGAGTGCATAACTACAGTTAGTAATATAATCTGTGATTTTTTTTGTTTTTCTAATTTTTCCCAATTTAATTTCTTTTGAAATTGTTAATGATTGGTGTGTATACAACATTTTTTTGTAAGTTTGTTTTTGAGTGTAAGATGTCTTGGAAGAGAAAAATAATTTAAGACTCACAGTTTTTCTGCCATTTTAGTTAAATAAGCTCAAGCAGACCGTAAATGTGTTTGTGCAAACCGGGCAATGATGAGCAAAATGAAATGTGTTTGTCATTTTATTCAGACATAAGAGTTTTTTCACAATTTTTGGTTTTAATTGGGATGGAGGTTATGTGTTCAACCAATCTTTTGGCTAAACCAACCAATCTAATTTGGAAGTGTTTTTACCCAATCTATACTTGTACTAGGGCAAACCAATACAAATAAGTCACATTAGCCAAAATGTTTGTTAAGTGTTATTGCAACTTTCAAAAGTCTAGGTAGGTTTTGAACCAACAACCTCAGAAGTGGAAATCAATGTCTGACAGCTGACGCCACTAACAACCAGAAAGCAATAGTACTTAAAACTAATGTCACAACTGTAACCAGTGGGTTGCTCAGATTTTGATCATTACATTGTTTAATCTGTCTAAAATAGTTTTAGCCAACTAGATTATTTTTTTATGTATTCTTACAATCTATCCAAACTATATCCAACTGACAGAGGCTTTGCTAAAAACTCCCACATCTTCACTGAGTAGTGAGGCTGCCTGTCGAAGTTCTCGTACAGTCTGAACCACTTCCTTAAGCACTCACCTGGTATCATGGTAGATAGGCTTCGTTTGTAATTGATTTTGGCCCCTCACCTAAATGAATCACACCTCGACACGCGCTTCGGGGAAAACGCCTCCTCCATTACTCGACACACGCTTAGAAGCCTGGGCTCATCTCATAACATTACTTGACTTCAGCATTTGTCTCTGAATTTGGGAACTATAAAAACCTCTACTCAAGTTGACACTACCACTGTTTAAAGATGGACGCTTTAACTTCACCAAATTGGCTCCCTTCTGACAGCCATCTTAGATTTAGTCTTAGTCTTCAGGATGAAAACTATTATTACTCTTAGTCTCGTTTTAGTTATTACAATATGTAATAGTTTAGTCATTTTCAGTCGACTGAAAATTAAAAAGTTTTTAGTTTAGTTTCAGTCAGTTGTATATTGCAAAAAAGTTTAACCTTTACGATTTCGAATACCAACCACATTCTTTACCAGATTGACTGTTCTATCCTAGATACTACAGTAGCTGGGTATAGACTGCTGCCGTGCAGTTCATCATTGCTGTTGGACAGAAAACTTTAATTTATAGAACTTTAATCAATTTTTTAATGAATTAATGCCCTACTTTATACAAAAGTGTCTCACAAAAGTGGTGAAAATAGCAGATCTAGTTCAACTCATTATATTTTCAATATGGCAGACAGACAAGCTAAAAAAATGTCCAATAAAGGAATGGTTTTAGAAATATGTAAACATAAAGTTTCATCCCAAAGCAAATACTTCCTGATCTACGATGAATTATGAATGAAACACAGACAAATAAAATCTTCATTGCTCCAAAAAAGCATATCGTTCCAAAAATAAACAGTAGGCAATTAAATATTTACTATGGTAAAATTTAGGCATTTATTTTGGTAGAAATAAAAGAACTTTTAGTATAATCTCTTGTGAGCTGGAAGA